CACACACACACACACACACACACACACACACACATACACAAACACACACACACGCTCGCGTGGGGGCGAACCTGCTGTTTTTTTTTTTTTACTTTTTTTCTTTTTTTTTAATTGATTGATTGATTGATTGATTGATTCGCGGGGAAGGGGTCGCCCTTCCTCCCCCCACATGCATACACACATACACAAACGAAAAAATAAAAATTTCCCTTCTTTTTATTAACTTTCTTTTGATCAAAATACGTGTTTTTTGGTTTTCTATTTTTTTTTAAATAATAAAACACTTTATAATCCAAAAAAAAAAATTACCGCGTTGTAGGTCTCTTCAAACCCTAGAACCCCATATATATATATATATTTTGTTTTGGCCTATTATTTTTTTTTTTTTAAATGTGTGAAATTCTCGGCCGCACCCAACCGCAGGTCCGACCTCAGCGGTTGGGATCCCGACCGCGGGCCGAGATGGACCCCGCGGTCATGACCGCAGGGGATACATAGCTTGTGGCTATGGTCTTGGGAAGTTTTGAAGGCTGCGCCTGGGGGCGGCAGTCAATAGAGAATTTTTGTGTACAAGGACTCGCTTTTATCTCCATTGCTGCTTTGTCTATGCATGCTGCGTGTGTGAGGCCTCGGGTAAGGGGAAGTTTGTTGTGCGCATGAGTGATGTCAAAGGTCTATGGATGATTGGATGTCCTGTCAAGAGTTGTCGATTGCATGCATGTATGTGTGTATGTACCTTTCCGGTCGGGGACGGAGGAACAGAATTGGGGAACCGTCTGCTTAGAAGTATGAGTGTGTTAATCCCGTCGTTCCCCTCCCTTCCGCGGCCCTTCCTGCGCGCACGAGCAGTCTCGATGTAACTTACTCTCTCTCTCCTTCTCGTCTTTTTCTTTTTGTGAACTGGTAGTCGCCGCTTTGATCTTCTCGTCCCCGCACTGGTGACGTCAACCGCCGGCGTCCGCGTGCGCGATCGACGCCCCCGCAAGGGAAAGAGAGCTTAGATTTCGCCATTTTTTCCCGACGCACTAACCTCGAGAGAAAAGGCTGCATCGAGTGTTGTATGGAGTCGGTGTTGGTTCGGATGACCGGGGGCGCGGGATCTTGCCCGTGTTCATCGCGTACCTCCGATCGTCTCATCTCGCTACCGACCTTCCCCATCACAGCTGACGACAGCGTCTACTGCGATGCGGACGTACGGCGCGCGCTGAGGCGGACGGAGCAAGTGTGTTGGCAAGACCCGCCTTGGGCTTGTGATATAAGGGGGTGGCCACCACTACCCGGTTGGCGTCCTCGCAACTTTCCCACAGTTTGAAGGATTAATGCGGGTGCCCACCACAGACCTGTACGTCCTCTTTGAGGAAGATAAAGATTCAGATCTAAAATGGTTCAACCATGGAGCCCTGATGGAGCTCCCATTGCAGCAGATAAAAGCCAACTCCTTTTGGTCAAAGGAGGACTTACACACCTGCCTATCAAGGGTTCTCAGGAACGGACTGCTGTGCACGGTTAACTGGGCCCAACAGCCATGGGTAAGAGTCTAATTCGGGGGGCGTGGCGTGGAGGAAAAGCTAATGGACGACATTGACACTCTGTTTTGCAGCAACCCCCAGTGGAAGAACTGTCTTCGTAACGCCGACCTCGACC